TACATACATACATACATACATACATACATACTAATTATCTACTACAATGTTCTACCTGTCAGTGACTACTTCAGCTTCAACCACAACAATACACGAACACACAATAGATACAAACTCAAGGTAAATGGCTCCAAACTCGATTGCAGAAAATACAACTTCAGCAACAGAGTGGTCAATGCCTGGAATGTTCTACCTGACTGTGGTTTCTTCCCCAAACCCCCAAAATTTAACCTTAGATTATTTACTATTGACCTCACCCCATTCCTGTAAGGGGCGTGCATAAGTGCACCGATGTGCCCACTGTCCCTGTCTTACTGTCCCCATTTATTCGTATTCATTTCATGTATTAATAATCTTGTATGTTCTTATATCTATTATCTTATACATGCTTGACAAAACAATAAATAAACATAAAAAATAAAAATAAATATATCCTGCTTTTTAATCCTGGTGGGCCGGGTGAATACTTCCCTAATTTAGCAGGGATTCTACAGAATGATCTCCTTGCTTTGCTCTGACCCCTCATGCTGGGTCTATGGCCCCTGTCAATCTTGTTAGTGCAGTTTATTTATGACTTTATGAGGTGCTTTGTTTTTTGTTTTTTTTTGGTTGCTGTTTGCAAATGCAGAGATGTGATTCTTTTAATTAAGGATCAGTTAGCCCTGAGCAAACCTGCTGTTCCCAGGCAATTTGATTGGGCGTGGCGGCATGGAATGAAAGCAACACGGCAACTCTGCTTTTATACACCTGGCTTGTGACAGTTAGGTGCGAAGTTGGCTATTTTGGGCTCACTCCAGAGAATGTATCAATTGGCCTTGTTCCCAAATTAGGCTGCAGTTTCTATTCTTGTTCTAAAGTGGTTGGTTGGATTTGGAAAAAAAAAAAAGGGCATGGTTGAATTTGCTTTTTAAATCCTGTCAGCACTTATCTGGATCGAAAATGAAAGATCATTAAAAAGATCACCACTGGGCCAATTTTTGCACTGTCCGTTTGAAAAAAAATCTCAAAATTTCCAATGGATCGAGCACATACAAGAGGCATGGGTCACTTTCCTACCTTCAACTGATAATTAAAACTGCAGGGAAAACAACAATGGCTATCCATCTGCCTTCCATGGAGGACCTGTACACTGCAGGAGTCAAAAAGAGGGCTGTGAAAATATTCACAGACCCCCTCGCATCCTGGACATAAATTGTTTCCATTTCTAGGTCCCTTCCAACTCTATTCTATTCCATATTCTATGAATTCAGCATGCTGGGAACACAACACCCTGGCCCTCGGTGGCTAACCAAACACAATGAATAAAAAATAATAATGACTTATATGCAATTTGGAAAAACTCATGGGACTTCATATTCTCCCTTGTGGCATTCGGGGAAAAGTTGCCAGAAGGCAAGCAGCTGAAGGTAGGGAAGAGAAGCCATGGCCCATGCTCAATTTGTTCAAGCCCCTTTCCCTCCCCCCCCAACCCAATACACACTTCAGCAACAACCACTCATCCCTAAGCAGAAGTAATCAAATCCAAAGTACTTTATTCTTAAGGTACCATGCAGACAACAGCCAAACAGCTGGACCCGGGTTGACTCAGAAACATTGCCTAGCGGGTGTAAATGCAGCTTCCTGCAAATCCCCCCGTCCCTTGAATTCTCCCCAGTCTTGCAAATCGCTCCCCTCCTGGTCTTTGGGGTGCACAGGGCGGGCCAGAGAAACGGGGGGGGGGTTGCCTCCAGGTGTCCTGGCAGCTTTTCCACCTGGCACGAAGCTCCGCTCTTTGCGCGCGCCTCTCCCAACGCTTCTTGCCACATCTGCGCCTCCTTTCCTCTTTTCCGCGAGGCTCCCTTTCCCACGTTACACCAGCCCCGCTTGGCAGCGCGCACGCGAGGAAACGTCCGCACCTGCCCCTCCCCCGCCACCCCTTGGCTCACCTGCCGGCGGCAGCCAAAGCGTTGAAGAGGTAGGTGACGGGGATGGCGCAGAGGGATAACACGAAGACCCCGGTCGCGGCCGCGGCGCTCATCCCAGCAGTTGGCCCGCTTCTTCTTCTTCTTCTTCCTCTCCTCCTCTTCCTCTTCTTCTTCCTCCTCCTCTTCCTCTTCTTCTTCCTCTTCTTCTTCTTCTTCCTCCTCCTCCTCCTCTTCTTCTTCCTCTTCTTCTTCTTCCTCCTTCTCCTCCTCCTCCTTCTCCTCCTCTTCTTCTTCCTCCTCTTGGTCTGGGCTCGGAGAAGCTAAACCGCTGGCATTCCGCTCCGGGCTCCGGCGTTAGGCTTCAGGGCTTCCTGATCAGTTGCTCCATGCGTTCCGGGCAGGCGGACTCTGCAGGCTGCCGGGGGTTCGCGGCTCGCAGCCCGGCCGACTGATGTGTGGGGAGGGCTTCCGCCTCGTCCTCCAGCCCTCTCGCCAAACTGGTGCGCCCTTGTGCGCTCCTGGTGCCGCTGTTGGAGCGGAGCGGGCGCCCACAGGCTCCCATGGCCAGAGAGACGCCGCCGCCCGATCACATCAGGCAAAAGCGGGCGGGTTTGTTGGGGTCCCTCCTCCTCCTCTCCCCCCCCCCCCGCAGCCCGTCTCTGGGCAGAAATACCCACCTATAGGCAACCCGGAGAGGCAACCTAAAACATGGGGTGCTGAGTCAAGTCATTGCGCACCCAGCTTTGCAAGGGGCTTCCCAGGATTCAGACAAGATCCCCCAGGCCTGAGGAGAAGTGGGTGCAGCAGGTGCATTGTTCCCGCGGGGCCCATGGAGTTCAAAGGGGGCCCATGAAGGGGGAAATGTTTTCAAATGTTTACAAAACCAAATTTTTAAGAAGAAAAACAATATTGCAGGTATACTTCGTACTCTATACTTGGTGTGTGTGTATCGCAAAACCGCCTTGCTGCCTTGTTCGACATCCCCTGTATGAATCTGAAACCCAATGGACCCTTATTTATGATGTTTGTTGAATTTTAATGTCGCTACTCATTTATTTAAGTTTGCAAGCTCGGTTTCATGTCATTTATGAATCTATATTTTATAGTTCACTTCCATTTATGAATGGTTAATGAAGTGCCATCTCAAAAAAATAAAAAACACTGTGCCTTGTAAATGTACAATTAGGACATGATTGATTGATGTGTCCATGTGTAGGTGAGAGCACCCATACTAGTCTTGTTCC